GCAAAAAAGGAAGCAGGATAAAAGAAGAGTTTCTTCAGGTTCTTGTACACCTTAATTCAATCAATTGATTAAATAGCAGGAAACCCCCTATTTAATTATCCAAGGCTTTTTGTTAAGTTTTATAACTCTCTTCTCTAGAGTGTTATCATCTTTTTTTCTGTAAACTTCAACACCAGACTCCAAATACTGATAGAAACCCAGAGGAGCACCTGCAATAATACTCTCCCATGTTATTTCCTCTATCTTATCAAACAGGCTCAAAGTCCTTGAAAAGAAACCTGAATTCTTTCTCAGCTTTGTCTGATCAAAAAAAGAAAAAAGAAAAAAAGAAAAAAGAAAAAGAAAGAGAGAGAAACAATATTTCTAAGCCTCTAGTTGGCAGTGTTACAAAATTTCCTCTGCTTTCACTTTCCCCCTCCTTTTCCAAACAAAATGTAATGTAATGAAAATTAATTAAAAAGGAAAAAAGACTTAGAAGAAAAGGCTGAAAGCCTAAAATATTATAAAGACAAAAAGGAGAAAAGACAACAAAGAAAAAGTAAGGTAAAAAAGAAAACCAGTCTAGTTTCAAGTTCAATGTAAAAAATCATGTATTAAGAGTCCAGCAATAAAAAAAGAAAACATTAATTTGACTTCCTGTTTAAAATTGCCGCTTAATCACTTCTGTCTGAGATTTTACAAATTCTTTCTTTTCCTTAGGGTGTCCTTTCAAATCTTAAAACAAAGAAAAAACTCTCACCAAACTGGCACACTTTCTCTTTCCATTATCTTCCGTTTCGGAGCTGTCCCAACTTCAGCAGCTTTAATGGCTGCCTCTTTGCTGCTGGCAAAAAGAGCTTCTCCTGGATCTACCAGGGACTTTGCAGTATCCCTGGGATCGACAGGATGCTCTCTTTACATTCACTATCTCTTCAGGACGGTTTAATTCTGTTTGGACCATCCAGGAGCAAAGATATCGGCGGCAAATCTCAGACCTTCAAGATCACACGCCATATTGTCATGCCAGCTCTGCCCTCCCCCGGGTCTTTGTTGTTATAGACTTAGACAATGTACAATAAACTTTACTCATCCACGTTTTGTTTGGAATTAAAACAAAATGGATGTTAGTGAAGGGAGTCAGAACATATTTGTAGCCTATGGAATTGTTGAATGATTGATTTTGTGCCACCAGGTAGATGTTGACTTAGTGACTACACAATACACAAGTATCAAGGATAATCTGCTCTTACTTAATTACAGTCATATAGCTTCAGGGACCTCCCAGGTCTTCTAGTCCAGCAGCCTGCTCAAGACAGAAAACCTTATACTATAGGTGTCAAACTTGATTTCATTGAGGGCCTCATCAGGGTTGTGTTTGACCTTGGGTGGCCAGGGTGGGTGTGGCCAGCTCAATGTCACTCGTATTGGGGTGCCTGTGGTGGCTCGAGTGCTCTGCCAGCAAAAATGGGCTCCCAAGCTCTGTTTTTGGCTGTGATGGCCTCCTGAACTCTTTGCCAGTGAAAATGGAGCTCAGGAGGGCTTCCCATGGCCTTCCTGAGCTCCATTTTCACTTGCAGAGGCACCATGGGTTGGTCCTTTGCTGTTTCCAGGGCAGCCTCATGGGCCAGATCTACGTACTCTATGGGCCAGATCTGGCCCCTGGCCCTTGAGTTTGATATCTCTGCCTTATACCATCCTTCTCAAACAATTGTACAATCTATTGTACATCCATCACTGCTACAGTTGAGTCCTTCCACCTTCCTAGCACTTGTTTTCTTCTTCTCTTTCCTTCCTCTGTTCCAAATATTACAGATTTCTCAAGAAAGTCAGGCCTTTGCATAATGTGTTCAAAATACAGTGATCCAAGTCTGCTCATTTTTGCCTCAAAAAAGAACTCTGGATTGATTTATTCTGTGTTTGTATTCTTTTTCCATGGCATTCTCAGGAGTCTTCTCCAAAACCAAACATCAAAAATGTCAGTACTCTTTCCATTCTGTTTCTTCAAAATCCAAGGGACAACTGTCAGACTACAGAATAAAAATTTCAGACTAAAAGTTACTTCAGATGTAGAATAATTCTCTCTCTCCCCACCTTCCCTCTCTATCTATCTATCTATCTATCTATCTATCTATCTATCTATCTATCTATCTATCTATCTATCTATCTATCCATCCATCTATCCATCTATCCATCTATCCATCTATCATCTATCTATTTTATATCTGTCTGTCATCTGTCTGTCTCTCTCCACCTGTAGTTCATATAAGTGATATACATTATTTACTCCACATGAATCTTGCATACAAGACTTTATGGAAATATTTTCATCATTGCAGTGATGGAGTTACTGTAGCAACCTCTTTGATCTTATGGGTGAATGATGGGTGCCTCAGAATATACGACTCCTTAATTCTCTATTTTTCTCATGTGGCAAATTGTGACAAATCAAATGGTTAAAATTTATTTTATTTTTTACACTTTTGAGCATCATCATATTTCTGTAGAGGTTGTAAAAATGTAATATCTGCACTTTGGAAATGTGTTTAACAAACACATTTAGAGCAGCAGGAGGGTTATAACAGTGTCGTGTTTAATGAATTTCAGGCATATTTGACTAAAGTAGATAAGTATCACAACATCTTATTATGGATTGGTTTAACTATAGTGTTAATAATGAAAATTGTTGGATGTTGATGGTGATTTGTAGAGGAATAGAAATGCATTTTGTTGCAGCAACAACCTTCATTTTATCAAGATAATCCCAAGTAATGTCTAAAACTGTCTCCTCTATCCTGGTTTCTTCTAAAGGACTAATACCTCATCTCTAGACTCTCAACTATTTCAACATATCTGAAGAAAAGGCTTCCCCGGGCTACAGAGGCCTTCTGGAGACCAGAAATAGGCCCATTTTCAGCCTTCCAGAGCCTCCAGGAGGCCCATTTTTCAACTTCTCTGAGCCTCAATGCAGGTCTTGTACTTACCTGGGATCCAAAATGGGCCATGTGGGGACTTCTGGGAGGGGCAAGGCAGGATGGATGGGGCCAGCCAAGGGTGGGATTTGTCAATTCAGCAAACCGGTCATAAAATGGCCATAAAATTAACTACAGGTTCACCCAAACTGGGGCAAATCGATAGCAGCCCACTCCTGCTCATCCCTGGAATAAAAAAAACCCTACATGTACGTATAATTTTTTGTTTGTTTGTTCCCCAGTATCTCCAATAAAGACTCACACCTCTAGGGATTAAAAATGCTCTTTTGTCTGCCCAAGAACCTTCACAGAACACAAAAAAAACTTATTTTAGGACAGTGTTTTTTCAAACTTGAAAACTTTTAAGATGCGTGAACATCAATTCCCAGAATTCTCCAGCCAGCGTGTCCACATATCTTAAAGTTGTCAAGTCTGAAACACACTGGTTTAGAATATATGGTACTGCCATCTCATTTCTTGATGTATTTTGGGAAGGTCATAAGAAAGGATGTTAAGCAAAGATTCTGATATATTCTTTATCTCTGGAGGGGCTAATCTATTGAACTGAGACTTGTGAAACTTAGGGTCAATAAGGCTGTCAACTATGGAAGTCATTGGATGTCCTTGAACCAGAGACTTCCAACCTAATCGATCTCACAAGGTTGCTATTTTGGGAGTAGTTGGAGTTGAGTGTGATATGCACATTGCCCTGAGCTGAATGAAAAGCTGTTATATAAATCTAATGAGCAGATTAATTTGTACCTTATGATTCTTGACTCTTGACAAATGTATCTTTTCTTTTATGTATACTGAGAGCATTTGCACCAAGACAAATTCCTTGTGTGTTCAATCACACTTGACCAATAAAGAATTCTATTCTATTAATTCATGAATGATCTTACTCAGTTCTTAAAGACTGACTCATAATAAATATGTAAAAAGGGGCAAGGAAAGAGAAGGAAAAACAGACATAAAGAAGAAAGGAAAAGAAAGAGACCCGAGTGAGCCAGAATTATTTTTTTTTAACAAGACCTAAGTTTAAAACAGAGCCACTTGAATTCCATTATAAACATTTAGCCTTTTAACCCCATTTAAGTTTATTTTTGACTGTCAGGTCTAGGTGTTCTCCTGTCTGGACTGTATTGTGTAATAAAGTTTAAATTTTCCAGCACATGAATTTGAAACAATCATAATAGTTCCCAATATCTGTAAATTTTAACCATGCTGTAATTTTCTAGATGGGTACAATAAATCTCCCACTTAAATTAAGATATGAAAAAAGGAAGCTGAGTTAATAGCCCACAAAATATATTAATCAGAACGTAGCTATTTCTAATGCTTGCTACAATTTTTGTGAAAGGTCGAAACCTTGCAAAGTTATTCTTACAATTATTCTGAACCTTGGAGAAGGAAGCATTAAGAACAGATGTGTAATTTTTCTCTACAGGCCACTTATAGTTTATAAATAGACAGAAACCACACTCCAGAAAGAAATTTAATTTTATTGAATTTTTTATTTATATTCCATCTTTATCATTTTGATAAATAATTCAAATCTGGGCTGAGCAAGAGAGAGACTTGCCCAAAGTCACCCAGCTGGCTTTCATGCCTAAGATAGGCGTAGAACTCATGGTCACTCATGCCCTAGTCACTTCCCATCTTGACTATTGCAATGCACTGTACAAGGGGCTGCCCTTGAAGAGCATCTGGAAGCTCCAGTTGATGCAAAATGCAGCAGCCCACATTGTTTTGTGCAGACTTTGGTGTGCACATATATCACCTCTCCTAAGGGAGCTGCATTGATTTCTGATTTGCTTCCAGGTGCAATTCAAGGTGTTGGTTGTCACCTTTAAAGCCCTTCATGACTTGGGACCAAGTTATCTGAGGGACTGTCTCTTGCTGGTCACATCTACCCAACCCAACAGAGCAGGGAGGCAAGGAATGTCTCCATCTCCTAGGGAGATACACCTGGTGTGACCGAGAAGAAGGGCCTTCTCCGTGGTGGCTCCCTCTCTGCAACAACATTCCCCCAGAGATTAGAACACCCCCCACTCTAGCATTCTTCCAGAAGACACTGAAGACCTGATTCTGCCAGCGGGCCTTGGGAACTCAGAGCAGGGTGGAGATCATTAAATGGCTCTTATGATGTGTTGTCGCCAGGGCGTGGCATGGGGGCTTATTTTACAATATATGATTCTCTCTTTTATTAGTTTTATTGCTTTTTATATGATGCTTTTATATTCTTGTAAGCCACTTTGAGTTGCCATGTGCAAATAGGCGGCAATATAAATTTCCTAAATAAATAAATAACTCATAGTTTTCAGCTTGATGTCTTAACCACTACACCACCTGCCTTTAATGGACATGCCATGAGTTCCGTTATAGGAGAAGCAGTTTGAATGTCTTCATTCACCATCACAAACAAGGTCACAAACTCTACTGTTTCTTTCCAGAAGTATCACAACACACTGAATGGTTATTTGCATGGTCCACGGCTTTCATAGGCAAATTTTAAAATAAGAAAATTCAGTTAGAAAAATAGTACATTTTATCAGATTGTTTGTGTGGAATACATTTTTGCTGAAAGGGGCAAACCCGCATTTACCAGATGGATCTTCTGTTAATTTTTTTTGTATTGGACAGAGTTGTGTGTGTCAGGAGAAATTTAACATGAATGATCAATATGAAATAACTACATTAAGGGTGCTTTGCACCTGTAAAGAGAATGAATGAAAACCAGATTGCAAAACAAATATCTGAAGGAAGACTCAGTAATTTGAAAGGGAAGGTAAGATTTAAAAAAAAAAGTCCTGGTCGGTTGGAGTTGACAAAGTCCTCAAAAAAAGATAGATACTCAATACGAAGAGCAAAAGGCAATATCAAATCTGGGTATGGATGTGATAGAAGATAGGATGAATGGAAAGGATAAAAAGTAGGGACTATTATGATGAATGGTGTTGGCATAAATTTAGGTTTCCTTTTTATCTCCTTTTGACTCACTTTTCCTTTGCTCACTATTTTTTATTATTTTTATTACTTTTTTGTGTGCTTCGGAAAACATTGCTTACACAAAGAAGGTAGATAATTGATATATATATATATATATAGATAGATAGATAGATAGATAGATAGATAGATAGATAGATAGATAGATAGATAGATAGGAGAGAGAGAGAGAGAGATTTAAAAATACTGGAAGGCCCATAGTTCTGAGCAGAGAGAAATATCTGCATGAATGAAAAGACATAATATCAGAGAAAAACAACAACAGAGGGTCTTTGATCATCCAAACCAGTAGAGATGCATTTTTGATATATCAATGGTAGTTCAGTTGCATAAGGCATGCCCAATGATCTGTGAATGAAAGGACAAACCAGCCCAATCCATATTTCAGTCTCACCCAATGTAGTCTTTTGGCACTAGATCCCTAGCGCTAGTACTTAGTGCCCATGGCAGCAATTAGAACAGAAAATAGATTTCTCAATGTGAACTGAGTGCCCCAAATGAAAATTTTAAAGTAAAAATAATACAACTGTTTGCATTGTTAAAGAGTTGCCTTATCAGGGAGGTGGGTGGCATACCAATCAATCAATAAAAATAATGAACATTAAAAATGAAGGAAGGCACAGGAACAAATGACTCACTCATTCCTACCTCCATTTGAAACCTGTTTCAACTAGAAGTATCTAAACTAAGACCACGGTCAGATAATGTACCAACATATAGCATAGCTTAACTACATGCTATGTAAAAGTAGCATTTTTTTTGTCTCCTGCTATGTTTTAAAGTAATATTATCACAAATCTGTACAACATTTTTATTTGAAATGACCTTGTATCATTATTTTGAAGGACAGCATAGTGAATTTTTATATTATAACATATAGACACGGAGAGACACACATGTACCCATGTATTAAAATGGTAAAATTACCTTTCTTTGGTCATTTCCTGCAAGACCACTGTTATTCCAGTGAGATGAAAACTCTTTCCAATGAGATTCAAATGAAAAAAGATCACTGAAGAATCCTGTGATAGAAAGTTCAGCCCTAGTTGATATTAACCAATGCCTCCTGTATGTATGGCTAAGCAAATTATGTCACAATAAACAAACTCAGTTCACAAAGGGCTTTCTTGGATTTTTGGAGGCATTTGTCATCGCTCAGAGTGCAGATGTCAGCTTTGGAAGCCATATTGAGATTCAATGCTCCCATGCTGCTACAAGCCTGAGAAAGTGGGAGGGGGGATTCAATTGAGTAGCTCTAAGTAGACAAAATAAAATTCTTTTGTTAGTTCAAGGTCATTGAGTATGGCGCAGAATGAAATAAGGACCTGACTTTAGGACGGATTGTGATTGGACCATGCAATGTGATGATGGCCAAGGGGGGATGGATTTGTAGTTTTGAATATATACTTTCAGATTCAGGATTCCACAGATGTTCCAGTTTACTATCCAAATCAAGGTACCTTTGTCTGTCTCAGAGTTATTGATTGGAATGGAGGGTTGCTGGAACACTAACAGCAGAAATGTTTAAGGCGGAATAGAACGGAACAGAGCAGAGCAGAACAATAAAATAAAATAAGAGTTGGAAGGGACCTTAGAGGTCTTCTAATCCAACCCCCTGCTTAGGCAGGAAACCCTACACCACTTCAGACAAATAGTTGTCCAATATCTTCTTAAAAACTTCCAGTATTGGAGCATTCACAACTTCTGGAGGCAAGTTGTTCCCCTGATTAATTGTTCTAACTGTCAGGAAATTTCTCCTTAGTTCTAAGTTGCTTCTCTCCTTGATTAGTTTCCACCCATTGCTTCTTGTCCTGCCTTCAGGTGCTTTAGAAGATGAGAAACTTAATTCTATTGTAGAGCACAATTAAGACCTATTGTTAGAATCTACTAATTGTCTTTCCCCCTTACATTTCCAGTGTTTTAAAGTGCCATTAGGTGAGCTTTCTTAGTTATTGGCAGCTTGTTTAAGCAGATGTTGAGCTGAAGTTGTAAGTGCCTGTCTGGGGCTGGTGGAAATGACCCAACCTCATTTACTTCTGGCATTCCTTCAGATATTTGATCCTCCTTGTTTAGAACAAACAGCTACCGCTTAGCTTCTTGGCTGTTAAAAACCTGCCTTAATAGTTGCCATATGCTTGGGATCAATAGAGAAAAGTGAAGCCCTTGCTATTCCTTGGCTTTAATGAAAGTAGCAAATTAATCATTTTGAAGAATCAGCACTCCGGGATACATTAAGCCCCCTTTGTCCTTATGCATGTTTTTCTGCAATCTTTAGACACAACAATAACAACAAAAATGAAATCCAGACAATGCATTTCATTGATCTCTCTAAATAGTGATATTTCTCTCATTTTTCTCTTGATCACAGGTTATGTTTTGTAGTAGAATGAATGTGACTTTTGGGGATGCCTCAGTAATCTAGCTTCCTCCCTCCCTCCCTCCCTCCCTCCCTTCCCATCCTAGTGGGAAGTGTAGGAATGGTGAAAGGATTTTTTTCTGCTTTTTGGAACAGGGATAAGATAATGATTTTCCAAGGCAGGGATTTTAGTGATACTCTTGGATTGATAAGATGCATTTTATATATCTACCTAAGTATATGGTTTATAGCTTGACTCAGTAGGTGGATCCAGCTAGTTGTGATTTATGAAAGACAGAGCACAAAGTTGGACAAGGTGTGGCCTTTCTTATGTAGTTGAGCCTCAACTCCAAACTTCCCACGTTATTATCCATTGTACATTAAATTGTCAGGATTTGAAAATCAACACCATAATGTTACTTCCAAGATTAGTGGAAAGCAATGTGAACAATGGTTAATTCCAATATCTGCCCAGGTGTTGAGACAGAGAAGATTTTTTTTCTAGGGCGCTTCCTGGAGAAGCTATAGCTGCCTTGCATGCAAAAGATCGATGTTGCATTTTTGAGCCTTGATATTTTCCCCAAAGGAAAATAAAATAGTAGATTAAATTTGAAGATCCTCTCCTCCCAATACATTTTTTAGAATACATCCCAAACAATCGGTGCTCTGGGATGAGACTTCCTGCTTGATGCTCTGACAACAGTTTTATCACCTGAATGGCTTGTCAAAGACAGTAGCTTAAAAAAAGGGGGGGTGGGGGAATGAGAGCCTCTATTGAGCTGTGTTCTTCAAACAGCTTCATTTACCCACATTCAGTTGGGCAGAAAGACATAAACAGATGCTCTGATTAATTGCGGTGAATGGATATGATAGCACTCACGGAAACAATAATGTAATTAATTAACAACAGTTTAATTGTTAAACATCTAATCTTTAATGTGGCATGTTTACAAAATTTGAAACCTTTTTGCCATTACTTTGACTGTAGTAAATTGAATCAAAAAATGGTTTGATTGCATACGTCCTAGTTAAACGAGGGAAACACTGAAAACTGAACTTTAATCTTGTAGCCATCAAATTTCTGTTCCAGAGATTCCATCCACCCACCTATAATTTTTAAGAAATTACAAGTCTTACAAAAAGTCTTACACTTATAAATATGAGGTTCTTATTGATGCACTGCCTTCTAAAAGTGCAGCAGGACAAGTTGTTGCCAAGGAAATGAATTTTAACCAAAAACAAGCCTGATTGTATTTACAACATAACAACTGTATGTTAATAACTGTTGCTGTTTTGAAGTGTGAAATAGTAGACTCTCTGTAGCTACAAGTCCTGCATTTTTAGCTTATAAATGTTGAATCATTTATGTCCATTCCAGTTGGCTCAGAACTTTATTGGTACCGGATTTAGTTCTCCTAGTTTGTTAGGCCCCCAAACCAAGAAAGACATGAGTGATTATTTCAAACTGAATTCTTCATTGGTTGACACCTATAGACAGATTCTTGCCAGACTAAACAGTCTATTATTTGCATCTGCCATATACTCTGAGAACTATTAGGGAGGAACTTTCTTCACCTTCCTTCTCCCACACAAGATATCTTAACTGAGTTATCCTTATCCTCATTTGTCTGGAATACACCCCCTATCTCCTAGGAATCCAGCCTGCTGCATTCTATCACATCATATGGAATCAGAAGTT